TTATTAAGCGACGGATTTTCCGATATATTTATCGGTATTGGTATCAACGTAATTTCTTTATGGCATTTGTGTTTTAATAAAAATTCGTTAGTATACATTAGAGATCATCTGTCAGTATACTCTAAAGATTTATTTAAGGACAATATCAATAAAATTAATTCAATGATCAGGCACATCTAAAGCCAGCAAATTTCTGTTTCCTGGTATACTGATAGAAAACATTCGCGATGTAGTTATCGGTAAGATTAGCAAATTGGTTATCGCTGTTCGATTTGATTGATTTATCGATAATATTTTACATATATATAGCTATGGAAATGATATTTCTGAAACATTTAACAAAGACCTCATGATATGTATCGAAAGGGATTTGGCACAGCTAACGACAAATAACCTTATCGGTAGCGATATCGGATAAAACATTTCAGAATTTAAAAGTGTTTTCTCCTTGAACACAAGCATTTTGCTATATTTATTCTGAAGAAACTGCTTTGAGATAAGATCATTTTGTGCTGAAAAGGTAGAAAATTAGATCATCCGCTGCACGATATCTTGCCAAGAGGAGTTATGATACTGTATCTGTACTTGAGTGTGCATCCTACGCAACTTTGGTGAGTATTCAGTAGCTTTCGGCAAACCCTATCGCAAATNTGCACGATATCTTGCCAAGAGGAGTTATGATACTGTATCTGTACTTGAGTCTGCATCCTACGCAACTTTGGTGAGTATTCAGGTGTAGTAGTGAGTTATGATGTTTTGGATAAAGGCCCAGAGCTTTCGGCAAACCCTATCGCAAAAGAGGACTTTGTTGCTACACGCTAACAACACTGACGAGATAGTCATGGAAGCTCAGCTGGTGTGTGTCAAAAATCTCCATAAGTGTTTAGTTAACATATGCAGCTGTTTGTCCGAAGAAAAATAATTAGGTAAGCTGAGTATAGAAAAGAAGATATCATCCAAGATGTCTGTTTTGTCAGAACTACTGAGATCATAGGGAGAGGTCATGATCCTTTCAATGAACGGGGTAACAACTATGTGTACCTGAGTTCAATTATGTCTAATAAGGAAACTGGACTTTTCGTTTACATGGAGACCACAGATTACGGCGTATTTTAAAGCCAAGCACCGCAGAGATACCCAGGAGATAAAAACGATGACCAAGTTATTTTCGACCAATAAAAAATTTGCATATTTTTCTATACAAGCGGCAAAGTTTTCTAAAAATTGCCTGATTTTAATTTAGAAAATCAAAAATAATTATTAATTTTATTGTTTGGTTTATTAGGCACCCAAAGCTTTATTTATTACTTATTAAATCCATTCGTAAACATAGTCAGTCATCTAAATCAAAAGCTCTTAAGTACCAGTAGGTCCAGTTGGTCCCGGTGGCCCTGTCGGTCCTTCTGGTCCCCGTTCGCCATCATAGCCCCTTGGCCCACGCAAACCCGGCACACCTGGTGGACCTATCGGGCCAGGACTGCCTGTGTGACCGCGTCGACCGGATGGTCCTTGCGCGCCGGTCAAGCCAGCGCGCCCGTCCGTTCCTCGTTCACCTTTCTCACCCTTTGGTCCTGGGGCACCAGGCACGCCTGGTGGTCCTGGAGGCCCAGGCGGGCCAACTTGTGTTACGAAATTCGACGCAGCCAATGCGATGAAGCCTGCGAAAGAAAATGATGAAAAATATTTAGCCTTCCACTTATATTAAGAAGATGTATGTTACGCGTACCTAAGCAGGCCAACAGCAGTATTGTTAGTCGCATGGTTGAGCAGCATTTAACAGCGTTAAGGTATGCGATGTCTTATTTTATAGTAATACTTGTTTGCTGATTTGCTAAGGTGGTTAAAGTGCAAATTTTATGATTTCTTTGCTCCACAAAAGACATTAATTTGAATAGATCAATCAATCAATTGGGTCAACTAATCGTATAGGCATCGTAAAACTTAAAATTAGATGAAGAAAAAATACCTATGCAAATATTAAGTAGAGAAAGAAAGGTTAAAATTGGGAATAGATATTATATTACATACGTAAAAGTCTAGTTTTCTGCGCAAAGATTCTATCACTTCAAATGGCGGTTTCCCATCTCTATATAAAGTTGTCCACTGATTCGCTTGGCTTCAGTTCAGCTAAGCTTCAGAGATGAAAGTCACAACGAATACAATCAGCGGTAAACATAATTTATAGCAACTCAGTAAGCAAAACATTTCAAATTCAAACATCTCTATCTTCCAATCTAGCTTTCGTTCTTATCCTGGCTACTTTCGCCATACCCACCATCCAAGGAAAACGTCGGCTAGCTTCAGCAACCGATACGAAAAATGAGCAACGCGCGTTTGGTTTACGTCAACAATCCGTAGTATATCCGTCGGCACAATGTCTTTGTACGCCTGGCCCACCGGGTCCTACCGGACCACCAGGACAATCAGGCCTGCAGGGTAATCGCGGTGACAAGGGTGACGAAGGTCTTCAAGGACCTCCAGGACCAGTTGGACCAACCGGACAACGTGGTTTACCTGGTCGACCAGGTATTGCGGGTCCAATAGGACCACCAGGCCGACGTGGTAGACGTGGTTTTCCCGGCGAACGTGGACCTGCAGGACCAACAGGTCCACCCGGACCAACAGGGCCTACTGGTCCTGCTGCGGCAGCAGCTGCAGCTCGCTCGTTGGATCAGCGCGTGGGTGAGGTGGCGTTTGAGGTTATGCCGGATTATGATATACGTGTGGGTGATGAGGACGATGCTGACACTGAAGATGATGATGATTATTCAGAGGAGAGAAGGTAGATTTGTGTTTTAAAGAAATGTCAGTAAAGGTGTTCTAAACGTATGGAAATAAATAAAATTGTATGCTTTTGAGGGAAAAATTTAAAGTTGGTACAGACATAAGTATTCATTATGTGTACAACTATTTCTTGGAAGATGCCAGTCTGGTTTCGAAACCGTAATAGCTGAGTGGCATCAAAATCTGAGAAAAACTATAGAACACACAATACGTTTTAGCCACAATACGTTTTAGGTAGGTTAGGTTAGGTTATCTCGGCTGCCCTCATCCCTCGCAGGAAAAGGGCACCCTTAGGCCACCATGGGCTCGTTGTGATATAATTTTATAGACTTTATATGTCCCTCCTCTAACCTAAGAAATTGAACCACTTCGTAGCTCTTATGAAGCGTTCAGCCAGTTCAGCCAGAAATTCAAAAGAATAATGGAGGAACGAGCATCGACTAGCCCTCGCCCAAGCGAGAGAGATCGGGCAGACGAAAACTAAAACTAAGTGAGAGTCCTTGCGAGTGAATCCTTGTATGGAAGTGATTCCTTAATCCAGTAGGCGGGACTGTGTATTCAAGGCGCCTAAAGTCTACTGGAAATCTTCCAAAATTCTATAGTGTCCAAACCCCATGCTACTCCATTTGATCAGCGCGTTTAATCTAGTAGCATTACAGCTTGTCTGCAGTTTACCATATAAGTCCACAGGTAGAAAGTGGAGTGTAAAGGACCACGTCTCACGCGGATATCTCCGTTACCTTGCAAATGGATTTCAAAGGCCATTTTATCGAATTACCATTGCAGATAAATTTAGTCTGTACATCGAATTGGACCAGCATAAGCCCTATATTTGCCACACACAATACACCACAGCTTCAAGGATTCAGATGCAGACCAGAAAGTTGAACACTACCCTTACAAAAGTGATGACTTTGTGAAACTTAAAATAACAGAACTTATTCAATCAATGCGACAGGATATTTAAGAGCCAAATAAAGCAAAGCACCGTACTCTACTTCCAGACGGTAAAGAAAAATTATAGAAAAGATGAAAACCAAAGTCTGCTCTTTCTTATATTTTTTTGCAACTACGAAACGGTACACCGAGTAGTTTTATATGCTTGTACTTACAAAACAATGATCTGTTATAGATGCGGTGGTGTTACGTACCTCGGCCGTTCCAACCGCCAAGGCAGCGTAACTTTGAACCTCCTTCACCCGAAGAGCAGGAGCGGATTGGAATCTCGGCCGTTCCAACTTCCCAAACAGCGCGAATTTGTACGTCGTGTAATCGAAGCGTAAGAGCGGATTGAAACCTCGGTCGTTCCAACCGCCAAAGCAGTGTGACTTTGAACCTCGAGCACCCGAAGCGTATAATCGAATCGCAAAAGTCGACAGTTCCAACCGCCAAGACGCTATCCCTGAAACCCGTCACGTCCGAATGCCTGCGCAATGCAAATACCAGGAAACCAGGCTGCTCGGGATCCGGTTCACTACGACCGTCACACAGTGGTCAGAATGGAGAATCTAGCGAGACAAAACTATTTGAGCAGATTCGCGTTGATGGATTTGTACACCATTTCGTATCTACCAGTTTATTTAGCCACTGATTACAAATCTTCAGTTAGACTTCAAAATCAAATATGGCAGATCCAGTATGGCATTCCGAAGCAGTTGTAACTCCAAAGCAGTTTGCTTTGCACTTGATATGGTTGCCGTGGCACTGTTATATACCAGGAAATGAGTACGCGGAGGAGCTTGAAAGAGGAGATATGTGTATCCATTATCTACACTTTCCCCAGACTGGAAGAGGATAGGTATGCCACTCGCTTTTGCAAGCTTTTCCTAAGGGAACATTTCCTTGCGAAAGCGGAAATCAGATGGAAACGCATTGAAACCTGCAATAGAGGGAAGCCTACGTGGCCTGAATGGAACTTAAGAAGATCAAGAGAATTTCTCACTCTCAATAGGGGCAATATGCCACAGGCTATTGTCTTGTTCACTTAATCAGGCACTTACTCTGCGATTATCCTGCGCTATGCAGAGAAAAATAGAAATTTCTAGGACTTTTAGTTGATCTGCAACTGCAAGGCTTGCAATATGGCAGTTGCTAAGGTTTATAGACTCCACGAACTGGTTTAAGAAGAAGGGTTCTTGGATTCCTGTGGCATCACAATGGCCCATTGTCGGGACTGGGCCTAGGTGTGCTGGCTTTCTCGAAGTTCAGCAGCCACCTCAATATAATCTAATAATAATAATAGGTTGGCGCTTACAGATATGGTAATATTTGGCCGAATTTGTCCTCCTCCTTCTAATCTAAGCTAGTGGAGAATTCAACAAATAGCAATACGAGAGAATGCTCTATGCCATTCAATCTATAAATTCTATTCCATTAATTTCCACTTCGTAGCTCTTATGAAGCGCTCAGCCAGTTCTGCCGGAATTTGAAAGAATAATGGAGGAACGAGCATCGACTAGCCCTCGCCCAAGTGAGAGAGATCGGGCAGACGAAAACTAAAACTAAGTGAGAGTCCTTGTGCGAGTGGATCCTTGTATGGAAGGGATTCCTTAATCCAGTAGGCGGGACTGTGTATTCAAGGCGCCTAAAGTCTACTGGAAATCTTCCAAAATTCTATAGTGTCCAAACCCCATGCTACTCCAATTGATCTGCGCGTGTAATCTAGTAGCATTACAGCTTGTCTGCAGTTTACCATATAAGTTCACAGGTAGAAAGTTGAGCAAGGTCTCTAGGACTTTGCTCGGCGTTGATGGTAAAGCTGCCGTGATCTTCATGCGCGCCACTTGTTGAACCTTTGCTAATTTGTTTGTTATTGTAGATTAATCTACGGACTGCCACCAAACCATGATGCCGTACACAGCCGCTTTGGACATCCGAATTTTGGACTGCCCCGGCTGGCAAATCTTGTTCCATAACATCTCA